CTTTTTGACTTCTTTATATTTTTTTCTTCTTTAAAACAGGTGAGACTTCAGTGTGGCATAAAGAAAAAACAAGCAGCTTTGCTATGAGCCATCATAGAGATATTTACTTACACTGAGGTTTTGAAGATAACTACATATATAGACAAATGCAGACCAGTTTTCCTTAAAGCAAGTCAAGCATAAAAGCTGAACTTAAGGTAAATTAACTGGTAAACTGTATACACTCTGGCCATAGTAATGGCACCACTACAGCAACAGCCCAGGTATCTACGGAATCATCTTAAATCGTGTTAGATCTGTTAAGAGCAGCGAAAGGCAGAAGTTGTTGTCATTGGTAAAGACTGCTGTACCTCTTGGGGCCATGAAAATTATACAATTAAAAATAATATAAAATTATACCTTCTAAATCGCAATGACAAGTTGTCGATTTGCACATCGATCTGTACTGTTAATTCACCTACTGCGCTCTCTTACAACAAAAAACAGAGCCTCATGAACACACATTTACAGTCAAATGCAAAAGTGTGAACACCCCCAGTCAAACTGGTTTTCTATGAGCGTTAACATCAGAGCCATTCAGAGTTGTCTGAGGTGAAACGTTTCACTGTAGAGAAACTTCCTGATTCGGATTTCTTTACAGTGGTGGTGATAGGAGCCAGAGTTCACAAGGTCTGCAGCACAAATATAGCCATTTTATTTACTATCCAAAACCACCAGTGAACCTACACACGTCTGCTGAGTTTTACATGCCAAAAATCATAAATCTGGACAAAAAGGTATTCTTTGGGGGATTCTTTGCCTCAAAACTTCCTGCATGTACTCGTCCACCATGAATGTACCATACATCGTAATTAATGTCTCAGGCATCAAGCAGCATCTAATAACTTTCTGTGAGGAAGCTTTAAGAGGCAATAAAGATTTCAGACGTCTGCTTCCTATCACCAACACTGTGAACAATTCTGACTTAAAGTTTCTCTAAAACGGAGCATTTCTCATCATACCACTCTAAATGACTTTGTTTACATCTTAATGACTTAATAATGCAGCAAATAAAAAAAAAAATGTAAAAAAGCATAAAAGTGTGCTGAAGTGTGGTCTCTGTAGAGGACATCATAACTTATTTTAACGTGGAAAATCAACAAAACATGTAATTTGACCAGGTAGTCCAAACCTCTGCATACTCTATATGCATTTTGGGGTATTTTTTGTTTATATCCTTAATGAAGTCTTTTTAAAGCTTGTGAATTTCCTAGTTTATTGGCTTATTACCTTTATGCAGCGTACATTTAAAAAGTGTGTAAGTTTTAAGGCAAAGTGGTTCCCAAAGAAAATCAGATTTTCAGATTTATGACTATTATACCTTCATTGACACAACATATGTAAAAACTCATTTTGGATTGTAAATAAAGTGTCTATATATGTGCTGTAAAAATTCTGAAGTATTTTGGAATCTTGAAAGGTTTCACACAGCTTGTAAACCTTCCATTAGGCCCATTTGTGTTGTTTGACCTTTTTTACTCAATTCATTGTAAAAAAAACAATTGGTAGATTATTCAATTATTAATATAACTGATAGCAACAGCCCTGGTACTTATTCACCTAGAACAAGTAGTGGCACCAGGTACCAGATTTGCTTAGTGGAAGACCAAAAAAAAGTGAATAGAGTCCAGTCGAGGAGGTACCATGCAGAGGAAGAGCAGCTAAACAGGTAAATGACTAAAGCAGCATAGCTGGTTTTTCAGCTCAGGGTTGACTTCCTGGTGAGGCTCATTGTAGCCATGCCTGTCATTCTTCTTGCCCCACCTTTTGTTGTTATTATTGTCATGTTGAAGGTATGTATCTCATGCTGTCTATCACTGCTAGGACACTGGTCATCTGTCAACAAGCCTTATGTTCTCATGACCTTTAAGTTACATGCCTGAGTGCCTAATCAGGAGATTAGGTCTGAGGTTAAGTAACCAATTCTGGTTCTAGAGGGCTGGTGTCCAACATACTGTGATTTTCCTGCTCAAACACACCCGATTCCACTAGAAGCAGAGTGGGGCACCCCTGGCCTATTTTTAAATTTTCACACAATGCAAAGGACAGCTGCTGAGCTCAATTAATGTTGGAAAATAATATTTAATAAATGGAGATAATTGTTTTTGGGAGAGAGACAGCATGCTAATGTTAATGCAACAATATCCTACTAAATACAGTTATTAATTTATGAACTGAGGTTAAAATAGTTTGATCAAGAGCCTAATTTAAGCAATGTTCACCTTACCGCAAATGCAATCAATCAGCCAAGATATGTTTGGTGTCTGAAGCTTCCTTAGTTTTGTACTGGAGTCATAAAGCTAATGTAGCTAACAAATAATGGAAATTTAAAGCCTGCAATGAGCAGTGTGTGAACCGTATGCCTAAAAAGTCACACACTTAACAAACTGTGCCAAGCTGTTAAGTAATCTCAAATAGTCCTGCTTATCTGGTTTTTGACATTAAACTGTTATCTATAAAAAATGGACAAATTTTTTTTTTCCTTTTTATAGATAACGCATGTGTTTGACCTGTGTTAGGGTCTGACTGACACATTAGTTGGCTGAAAATACTGGCTTATATTCATGACCGTTTGTACTGACCGACTGTATTACTGTTTTTACAGGCATTGACACAAATATCGCAGATAATGCACAGATGATTTAACAGACAAACAAAAACCTGTGAAATGTATCCAAACCCAGTCTTTAGCTTTGCTTAGCTTTGATTTAAAAATATATTATATAGTTTTAATATTGAAAATAAATAAGACCTTAAATATATATTGCACAGGCCATATTTTGTTTTATTATTTTTTTTCCAATATGTTAAACTCTGCAAATGATTCTGCAAAACATTCTGCACCAGTAATTGTGCATTAAAATGTGCAGCAGTCTGTTCTCTAATCATATCTTTTAAGTAATGAGTAAATTATGTTGTGTGTTTTAGATATTTTATCTATGTTTTTATTAGACTATATACTGACACGTGGACCAAAAGAAATTCCTCATCCATTTTGTACATCGTCAGAAGCCACATAAGCAGTCTAGAATCTATTTTAGATCCTTCAATAAGTTTAGATTTCTTACTGTGGTTTGAGTCAAGTGTGACATGATTTCAGCATGCAGTTTGCACAATGGTAACAGGGTTTCTAGAAGCTTTTAGTGCTTGTTAGCCACATTAGCTTTGCAGAGTCAGAAGAAAATTAAAGAAGCAAACTTCAGACAGCAAACAACCCTGTCTTGGCTGCTCGACTATTGCTAATTCTGTAGAAATCTAGAAATATTACATTATAAAACTATATTTCTAATGAGCCTCTGTTTGGTGATGACTACAACTCTATAATACTGAACTAATCTTGAAGTATAAGTGATTTATTAAACATAGATATAAGTGATTTATTAAACACACACACACACACACACACACACACACACACACACACGAATATAATGCAATTATTAGTGATTTTCACATAAGGTTCTCCAAATACATACTAATATAGTTTATAATGAATCGGGATTAATGAACAATGAATAAAATGTAAAATCAACATAGGCCTTAAAAACCCCCAATACGTGTTCTTAAAATAAAGTTTAATATCTTGCTCTAACAGACAGGTATTCATAGTTTTTGGATAGTAAATAAAAAGGCTATTATTATTATATTACACTTCTTTCAACAAACGAAGGTCAAACATATCCGTCATCTTTTATATGGCTTGTCAAACACCTAATGTCAACTTTACCAAACCCTAACCCTGTGAACAGTTAAGTAAGCTGATCAACACTGAAATCAAATATAATAAAGCACTGTTATAAACGTGCCTGTTTTGGTTCTGCCTCTTTTCATACCTAAACATCTACGGTTATAGTGTTGTTTTGCTATGCATTCAATCTCGGTAATATTTCAGGATGTAATAATACACGCTGTATTGAGCTGAATTGCACTGCAGCAAATTGTATTGCACTGTATCACACTGTATCAGGATTAGTATGTCAGCTTGTGGCTAGTGTGTTGGTTAGGGGCTAAGATTAGCTTGTGATGAGAGCATTAGATTGTGACAATGCAAAGTACAGCTTTTGTTTCAAATATTGTATTCATATAACTTTGTATGCTCTAATAAACTGAAGATGGAAAGCAATGGAAACACTGAAGTGACACTATACAAGTTGTGTAACTGCATGGTATGTGCAACATTTTGTAACTCCTTTTCCGTGCAGATTAGTCTGATAATCGCACACTCAGTCAAAACTTTGATGAAGGACTTCAAAGGATGTAAGTGAATGATCTGCTATTGTCATCCGATCTTCACAAGCTTAATGCTGATTTCACATTTAAGACCAAAACACTGTGCCTTTTAATTTATATTAGCATGTTTTTTTCCTCCTGAAATAGGAACACTACCTTTTCCAATTTGAATAAATTTGACATTTTCAACTTATTTTTCTACTAATGTATGTAATAATGTATTTTAAAAATTAGTAGCATTGTCATTTGCATTCAATTTGCATTCTGTACCAACAGCTCTGCACTTCCAACTCTGTTCCTCATTTGTTTTGACAAAAACCTGGCAAAAATGTAAAGTGAGTCTTTTTTTGTTAAAACCAAGCAAATCATATTAAAATATTTCCTCTGTTACTTTTGAACACAAATGCATGAATTGAAAGCTTAGAAACTTCAATTTCAAATGAAGTTCTCTGCACTACGAGCAAAAATAATAAAATAAACTAAAAAACATAAGAAGAGCGGTTTCAAGGCACATACTCTAGTGGATATCGGTTTAATGAAAGAAGGGGGATTAGTGAACTGACATGAATGTAAACCTCAACGTTCAGCGAGATCTCACCTGTTTTTAGTGCTCAGAGCAGAGAGGAGGGCACAATAATAAGGGGTGTGGTGAGAGGCAGCTTTGTTTCAGATTACAGGTGGGTGGGTAGAGCAGTTACCGGAAGAGCTAGTTTATAAAGGGTTGAACTAGCTGCTCCGGCACTCACAACTCCTCTCACTGTCGGCTCGAACTGATGAGACGCCCTTAATACACGGCCAATATTGATGGGGTACCAAGCTCAATATCTGGACCACAACAACAGGAAAAAAAACCGAAACAGCAGAGGTAGTATCAACTATGTTTAACGTATATATGTTTGTTTTCTGGATCAGGCTTGTTTATGTCATAAGCTTGCTATTTATGTAAGAAGAATATCTGCATTTGAAACCATGCGACTAAACAAATGGCATTTTTTACTGTGTTACATTTTAAGTTTTGATCAAAAAGGATATGTAAAAAGGCTATTATTTTCATGTGCTTTACTTTTATTAAATAGCCTTCATTTACCAGGCCATTGTCTTCACTTAAAGATACATGAGGCATCAGCTTGCACAGGCTCAGTTCGTAACTATGGGTGGGTTGGTATTTTTTTAAGCAAAGTGGAAATCCACTGTCTAGTCACGGTACCAGACACTGGAAAAAACCTTACTGCTTGATTTCAATGGCTCCCCTCATTTGTCTGTGAGTAGAAATTCCTAGCAAACCATTTGCATTTATCAAATGCACACAAATTTTAATTATTTGAATCCTTTCTCTGTTTTTAACTGTGTCATGTGGGATTATGAATCCTTAGATCATTCAACTGGAGTGATTCTTTTCATTCAGGAGATCTGAAATCATTAATAGTCTGTCCACTGACGGCCATCTTTCCAGTCTGAAGTCTTGTAATTAAAAGTGTAAGACGTAATTCACACTAAGTACCCACTAGGGCTGAAAGATAAATCACTTTTATATTGAAACAGCAATCTGAAAAAGAACAATTTTCAAAATGCAAGAGCTGCCATTTAAGTTATATATCAACACAGTTTAAGTAGGATAATTTAACCTAACCACATGAAGTTCGTCTACTGCTTGCAGATGAATTAGACCAGTCAAAAGCAGACAGACCCGCATGTGCCGAACATTTGACAACACACAGTACAGAGCAGAATGTCCAGTGTTTAAGCCTCAAGCTAGAAATAATGGGCATTCTGGTGTTCTTGGCCAAAATAACAGGGCTGGACCTCAATTTATAAAGATAAATAATATCATCAATTTAAACTGCACACATTACCGGTCAGAAAAAGCACAATTAGACCATAGCACCAGCTATCTAAAGTACACATAACCAGTTCCTTATGTAAGAGCTGAGTAGCAGCTTTAATGTTATCTATAATTTGCTCTCCACGTTTTACATATTTGTTTTAGACTTCTCCTGTTTTTTAAGGTCTCACAACTCATATCCATACATCCTATATGATTTGGAGACTGCTTACTTGTCTGGCAGCAAGGGACAAGTAAGGAATACCTTGTATATCTGGTTATGCCAAAATATGAAAAAAAAACCCCACAAAAATGGAGAGAAGGTTTTGTTCCGACAGTGAAACTGTTAGATTATCAGCTTTCTTAGATTTTCGAGTACACTAACGTTTGCTGCTTTCTAGCCTTGACATCAGTCATTCAGATTGGTCTTGATATGAAATGCTCCATTCCAGAGGAAATGTTCACAGTGGTGGTGATAGGAACCAGACGTCTGAAGCATTTAATGCCTCTGAAAGCTCCTTCACAAAATGCTAATACATGAAATGGTTTTGAATATGCTGCCTGATGCCTGAGACACTGTTTAAAATAGTTCTGAGATAAGATTTTGACCCTTACTTTTGGCAGGGTGCTGTAAAGCAAAACAGTCCCCTAAGAACACTATGTACCAATATTGTACCATTATCAACATTACATATAAACTCAAAAAGCATGTGTACGTGCACTTGTCATTTTGGATAGCACATAGAAGTTCTATCAACCTATTAGGTATCTGACCATTTTTCTGTTTGTGTTTTTATATGCTAGAGTGGATTAGCACAGTGAACGAAACCTGCAACACCATGTTGATTCACCACGCTCCAGGGAGCATGATGGCAGTCCTGCAGGAGATGGAGGACAATGGCAACTGTCCCCATGATGAGGCTCTGCAGTATCTGTTCTTCCTTCTCTCCAAAATGGCTTTGAACACGCTAGTGTTGTCCTTCTGGTTGCGGAGCATTACCCAGACCTTTCTCGGCATCCTCAGCATCTCCATGTATCTGGTTGACCTGTCGATGATCTGCACCATTTCCTGGATCTGCTGGTTCAGGGAGAACCTTGAAGCCCACAAGTTCCTGTGCTTCAGTCTGTCGCACAGCTCCACCGTGTACTCTATGCTGCCTTTGCCAGTTCTTCTGGCAGGAGCACTGGACTACGCTGCCCATCGACGCCTGGTGGTCAACTGGGACTCTCCAGGTAGGACAGCTGGCCGCTGCGTAGTAGTGCTATTAATGTGGGCCTTGGCTTGCTGCTATTCCTACATGAACACCGACGCGGAACTGCTGACAATTCAGTACAAGGAAGAAATGCAGGCTCTTGTGTGCCCAGTGCAAGATTCTACAGTGGTCAGCTACTTCAATTTGAACTTGTTCATTGTGGCAGGTGCCATACTTTTGCTGTACTGCAGAGGGGTACCTCGCTGGGCTCGCCTGGCCAACAAACTGAGCAGGAAAAAATCTTGGCTACTTGCTCCTAGGAGTGATCTAGCCTTTTCCAACACGCCACAGAAGCTCAAAGAGGGGACTGCTGAGGACCCACGTATGGATCATGATCAGCAGGATCTTCCTCCTCTTTTCGTGAGCCTGACTCTATGTTTCATTTTGAACTGGACACCCTACTTGTTGATGAGTGTAGCCTGTGACCTCCTGGGATTCGCAGTGCCGGCTTACGCTACAGTTAACCTCCTATGGACGGCCTGTGCCAACAGTTTAATGGCCGGTGTGGCCTTCTGGTACAGCAGTGATGATCTTGGACCTTTCTGCAAATTGCCAGATGACATCTGCGCATGGAGCTTTTACTGGCACTTGAGTAAAGAAAACTATCAGTGGCCTACCAGTAAGATACGCAACAATAGACTAAGCACATTGTCAGAAAGACTGCTGCACCACCTGTAGAGATTTAGTGAAAAGAACTAGTGGAAGTACTATCTAAAGTTTTTATATCACCACCAAGACAGGTCCTTTGCACTCGGCAGAGGCCAAAGCGAACTGAGCTAAAGTTGTACGCACTTATCGTGCGATCATTCTGCACACTCAAGGACACTGGTCAAAGTTCAGCTCTTCTGTACAGCACAGTGTAAATATGATTTTGAAACAAACAATAAATGTGGGAATGCATGGTGATTATTATTTGATCTGATTGTCACATCATTTTCCATTTTTGGACAACTGAACAAAAAATGCTAAGCAAACAAAGGGATCCATGAGATAACAGGCACCACCAGGCTTCTGTAGTACAGCTCATTAGGCAGAAGGTCAGTTTAAATTAAAAAAATCTGAGATAATGTGTTCAAACAAAACATTGCTGGGTTGGCCAGAGCACCAATTTCTGCCTTTTGCAGCGTCATGTGGAGTAGGCGTCTCAAAGTACATGTAAATTCTTTACAGGTTATTCTTAATTCTGGCTCGCAAAAATCTTTTGTTTTTCTGCATCCAAATATTTACATTAGATTTGCTTCACCCACCAGACACTCTATATCAAAACATTTGAACCTAATGATTATGTTAAATGCAAAAAATGAAGTATGCAAGAGGAATCATTCAAACAAAACGCTGGCATGGCTGTGATTTAGATATAACTAACTTAGCTGTTATCCTAATTTAGGCTAAAATTAGGTTTCATTTTAGGACTGTATTGACTGAGGAGTGACAGTTATGCTTTAAGATTTTAACAATAACTCTTATTAAAAACAAAGACTTCCGTTCTCCATGGTACAGGCTTTTAAAGGCTGTAGGTTTGTTAAATGCTACTTTAAAAGTGGATGCAGCAGCACACTTTATTCAGCTGTCCCACACAAGCTAAAAGCCAGCATTAAACAGATGCAGCACATGAGGGAAAAACAGATATCAACATCTGTCCTAACAGAAATGTAGAAAAGCACCAACTGAATGAAACTAATGTAACTTGGCTTGCAGATGGTTTTGATGGACTATTCTGATGTTAGTGTGTCTCAGTAGCTGAATTTACCCTACAGATTAACCAAATGATATACTGTTTAGACTCTGTCTGTCCGTCAACCAATTCAGCAAACAATCATTTCAGTGGCTCTAAACTGGACAAAAGAACTGGCTCTGAACAGGCACCAAAAGAGATGACATTGAGATTCAAATCTATAAAATGATTTTAATAGTTCACTTGGTCATTTAACAGATGAAGTGAAGAACCCTTCATTCAGCATTTCCAGCCAAATTCAAAGCTAATTATTATTTAGGTGCATGATTGTATGCATGATGTGTACGTATGATGTGCTTCCCCAATTCACAATTACATGAATTAACAGATTATGCTGTGCAATATGACGAGGTCAGGGTGGACGTCATTCTGAAGGGGCAATATCTGCCACACTGACTGAAACCTGTCACTAATTCATTTTTACTGGGAATAATTACATCACAATATGCTTTTCTAAGTATTTCGTGGATATGGTCAGAACACTGAAAAGCTGCATGCTGTTCAATGTTCTGACCATATCTAGCACAATTAGGACTGTCCAGATAAAGTGCCGTGCAGTACCTGAAACCATAAATAAATCATCGTACTCACATTGTTGATAGTGCTTTTTAAACGTGGCACTACTGGTTCTTTTTTGCCTTATCAAACCTTAGAAAAACTGAATAATGTGTATAGTAAAACGTCGAGTGTACCGTTTTTTTTTCCCCATAACGTCCAACCGCAATTTACTCCTGTAATGTAGCAGTCCATTTTGTACATAAGGGTCAAGATTAGCGGGCAGAGAATTTGTTTTAGTATGATAAAGATACTGATTCACACTTACATACTGATTTATTACATTTTTAATAATTATTTTAGGGCCACTTTGGGCCTGCTCTTCTGTTTTAAGTGGCAAAAATGTTGGTGGTTGTTGACCTGGTTATTTCTGTCACTGACTGGGCGAGGGCTGTAGTACGTGTGCCTGTGTTTTGAAACATCATGCATGCATGCTTTTCACCACAACGACTACAGACAATTCTCAGCATTCCCCTTAATAACCAGAAACGTCCTCAGGAAAAGGTTCCAGCCTGAATTTCCTGTCCAACAAGTCTAGATGGGCCATTAACATCCCAGTTTTTCTGCCCTGTAGATCCTCTTTGCACATCTCTATGGTGAACGTCACTGAGGAACTCTCTAGGCACAGGAGATTCGAAACAGAAATAAGAAACTTACGCAGAATTCAATATACAAGTTACCCCATTTGAGAGCAGCGAATACTAGCCTTGATCAACAATAAGAAACCAAGAGCCTTCAGAATGCTACATATCATATAACTGGACCTACACTTAAATTACAGACTTACATTACAGGCAGTGTACCTAGAAGAGTTTTTATTACTTCCAGCAACAGAAGTGGTAAACAGTCCAAGACCCATTACAAAGTCTTAAAAGAATAGTTCAATTAGAAAGAAAAAAATTAATTTAAACAACTTTCCCCTTGACCCAAACCAAGACTCAGCCAAGACATGTTTGATATCTGAAGTTTACTGTGTTATTTTTGCATTAGAGCTATGTGGCTAATATCATTTAAGCCTACAGCGCTGGGCAAAAGTCAGAGACCACCCTTTTGTTTATTTAGGAAAATGACCATTATGTACAATTTATTCATTTATCAGCATCAGGATGTAAAATTAATTTAATGTCACTATTTTCAATACTGTGTCCATCCTTTGCCTTCACTACAGCTGCCATTCTTTTCAGGGCTCTTGCTTTCAGTTTTTCAAAGAAACCTGCAGGGATAATTTTCACACCTCCAAAGTTCAGTCTTAGAAGTTGGTTGCATTTTCCGCTTCTTATAATCGAAGTAATCCCCATTATAAATTCAGACTCATCAGTCCATAAAACCTTTTTCCACATCTCAGATGTCCAGTTTCAGGGCTCTAATGCAAATGCTCTTATTCTTCTATTTCCCATATTTTCTCAGTGAGGGCTTCTTGACAGCTGCACATCCTTTTAAACCCATAGCATTGTCTTGCCACAGTGGAAGGATGGACAAAAACACCTGTGGGCTTTAAGATCTGAAGCAAAAGTGGAGCCTGATTTTCTCCTCTCTCTGACTAAATGAATGAACAGATGGATGTTTTGTTAGCTCAGCTATGTTTGCTTCAGATTAGAGAATGGATGTAAAGTACATTGGCAATTCATTAGGCATTGACTGGACATACTTTATAAATGTATATTTTGTGCCCACAATAGCAAGACTGACCTACTTACAAAGAAAACATGGACTTTGGTCTCCTGGAGCTTTATCTGATGCTTATCTGGTGGTTTTGTGGGCTTTCAGGTCTTGCATGGTTGTTAAGAGGCTCATTTTCTCTACATTTTTCAATAATGTTTTATAAACTCAACTTTTGGAAACTCACTTTTTTCTTTTAAAAATTCCCTTACTTACGCAAGATTCTATCTGATCTCCTCAGAAATAGCTCAGGAAGCTGAGCTGAGTTTAGGTAGTTGTTTGAGTGAACGTTAGTGTTTCTTTGAAGGGGAACATAATGTCATTGAGATCTTTGGGAGCAGCTTTTGTTAGGACGACATAAACTCCCTGCATTTAAGATTGGAAGGATGGAAGAGTTAAAGAGGCAGTAGAGAGCACAAAAGTCAACAGGAAATCAACACTGATTTCATATATGAATTATATACTCAGTTTTGGAGGGTTTCGTGATCGACTAAGTTTGAGGACGCGGGAAATTGTGTAAATTTGATTTTTTACTAAACCACTCCTTTAACTAGGCCTGTCATGATTGCATGTGCTTACCAGGGCAAGTCACATCCCATCATTAACCTTTTGTTCACAGCCTACAGATCGAGGCACGCTGACCTTTGTCAGCATGTCTGGTTCTAAGGTGAGCAGAGGCGGAGGGAGGAGACGGTCTGTGGGTGAGCCTGACAAACAGGGAACTCCAGCCACTGCTGATAACATAATTAACTAAAGTCTACTTTCTCCACATAAACTGAACTGCATGTCTGCTGAGTATTAACTTGATCTGATCAAACGTGTAACATCTATAATGTGTCTGAATAGTGAAAACGTTTGAAACATTAGCATCTCAAATTGAACAAATATACGCATCTTCACATCCCTTAAATATGAGGTGTTTAAAAGCACAACACAGACACACAGATATCCCTCGAGGCGTGGGAAGTGGAGAGAGTGCATCGAGATTTACCAGCACAGTCACCATCAAAACATTTCACAAAGGAAAACAAACTCATTTCATATCAGTCACCAAGTAAATAGGCTGTGCTCAATGACTAAAGCAAAATCTTCCAGTTTAAATAAAGGCCTAGTCACCCTACGCAGCTGCGTTTTAATTTCTGTCAAATTAATGAATGACTTAATAAATTAATGAATAAATAAATGCTATTACATACATTTCTGCCTACAAGTATTTTCCAAAGACTTGTTTTAATGTCAAAAAACAAGTGTTTCATACTTTCCATTTCCTCTGTTAGTTTTCATTCATGTCAAAGAGCTGGAACCACTTCTCAATTAACAGATAAATATCAGTAACGGTATTCTGTTCCCTTCCATTGTTCCCCTCTCGACATTCTTCTAACCCTTTAGTTGTAGCTGCGCTGAAGAACTGGGTGCAATTTCGTAGACGATTCCACTTTAGAACAGCCTCGACCCTCAGTCCCATAGGTAGAAACCACCTGTTCACACCCTCCATCCTGGATCATAACTTTAGCACCTGGAATGGACTGGGAACACGTACTTTTAGGGACCTATATAACGGTGATACCTTCCCTAGCTTTGCTTCACTGTGTTCAAGATTTAAACTTCCATGCACTAACATGTTTCGATATTTTCAGGTTCGTCACTGTGCCCAGACCCTCTTTGTTCCATTCCCTGGGCGACCTCCTGATTTGGCTTGGGAAAAGTTTTTTACTCTGCCCGTTAATTCAAGAGGGATAATCTCGCTTATCTATAACAGCATCTTGTCTCTTATTGATCAGCCCTTGACAAACAGGTCTGGGTGGGAATTGGAGCTCAGTGGGGAGTTGGACAAGGACTGGTGGTCCAAAACATTTAAAAGGATAAATTATTCATCTTCCTGCCCTCGTCTGAATTTGATATAGTTCAAACTGGTCGATAGAGCAGTTGTTCCACATGTTCTGGGCCTGCACAAAGCTTAAGAGGTTCTGGTCTG